CCCGGTGGGGAGGACCAAAAAAGCAATAAAGATGTGAAAGACAATTTAATGAGTTGATTTAACTCTGCTGCTGTGAAATATGTATTTCGTTGATGTTTTCCTCAGGAATAATAATTAATTATCAAGTTAATAAATAAAACTTATTTTGGAAAACCAGAAGTTTCGGTTACTGAACAAAATGGTACATCAGCGTTTCCAAAAAGGGTACTTTGAGTGATCCTCATTTTGTTGATAGACACAGTGGGGAGGTAGGCTTTCCTGATTTTACACATAAAAACATTTTCCAAGAGTTTTACAAAGACAGCTGATTGCTCTCAGAAAATGAAATATAACTACTGATACAAGAAATAAAATATATAATCAAGAATTACATGTTAGATGTAAGATCTTTTGGGCACAGTTTATATATAAGACCATAAGAAATAAGAACGGGGTAGGCCGTTCGGCCCTTCGAGTCTGCTCCACCATTCAATAGGATCAGGGCTGATCCAACATTCCTTGGGTCCACTTTGCTGTCCTTTCCCCATAATGTTTGATTCCCCCTTCTGATCAAGAATCTATAGCTCAGCCTTAAACATACACAAAGATTGTGGCCCCACAGCTCTCTGTATTAAGGAGTTCCAAAGACTCACAACCCTCTGAGTGAAGAAATCCAATCTCATCTCAGTCTTAAGTTGGCACCCCTCATACTCTGAGACTATACCCTCTGATCCTAGGCTCTCCCATGAGGGGAAACATCCTCTCAGCATTTACCCTATCAAGCCCAGTAAACATCCAGTATGTTTCAATGACATTGTCTCTCATTCTTCTAAACTCCAGTGACTAGAATTCCAACCTGTTTAGTCTTTAATCATAAGACAATCCCTCCATGCCGGGGATCATCCAAATAAATCTTCTCTGATCTGTCTCAAATAACATCATATCTTTAAGCTGTGTTTGATACCTTTAAATGTTACCCCATAAGTCATACTGTGTAAGGATTAATATTGTACCTTTTCTTTGATGTTGTGGTCATTTATAAGAATTTATAAGGTATTAATGCTCTTCAATTTACAATTGTCAATTCTACATCCCAGTTTTACAATAAATTTCATGCAAAAATTTAATAGTCCAATCAAACACTGTAATTTACATCCAACAGTAGAATTTTGTGATGTTATATTGTGAGAGGTAACAATATAACAACATGAGCATTTAACATTACAATTCTAATGATATTATTTTGTATTATCATTTAACAATACGGTGAGGTGATGAACTAGTGGTATTATCACTGCATTGTTAATCCAGAGACCCAGGCAATGTCCTGGGAACCTGGGTTCAAGTCCTGCCTTGGCAGATGGTGGAATTTGAATTCAATAAATATCTGAAATTAAGAATCTAATAATGACCATGAACCCATTGTCGATTGTCAGGAAAAACCCATCTAGTTCACTAATGTCCTTTAGGGAAGGAAACTGCCATCCTTACCTGGTCTGGCCTACATGTGACTCCAGACCAACAGCAATGTGGTTGACCATGAACTGCCCTCTGGGCAATTAGGGATGGGCAATAAATGCTGCCTAGCCAGCGACATCCTCATTCCGCGAATGAATAAAAAAAATTAAAGCTGTAATATCCAGTGATGATATGTCAATTTCATACAAGGTATTTATCCCTTTCTGCTAGGCTTTTCCCTAAGTATTTACTGAAACTACATGAGATACAGACAGATACAAGGTCAAAGATTTCTCACAGTGAACGGTCAATATTGTGAATACCGTCTTCCAGCTCCTCATTTATCAACTAGCTCTCTACATCTGCCTAAAAACATTCCAACACACTGCTCCCAGTGCTTTTTTGAGAAAGAGAGCTCCAAGGATTCACAATCTTCCAAGAGAGAAAAAAAGCCTTCATCTATTGATAACATTAGCTAGGATTGTGTTGATAATCTAAGGCATATCAATATTATCAGGGACGAGTTGTTGGGTGTCTTGAAAAACCTTAGTTAAGTCCTTAGGGCCTGATGGGATCTATCCCAGAATACTGAAGGAAGTGAGGGAGGAGATTGCTGGGACCTTAACAGACCTTAACTTTGTATCCTTTATAGCCACAGACGAGGTCCCAGAAGATTGGAGAATAGCCAACATTGTCCCTTTGTTTATGAAGGGCAACAGGGATAATCCAGGAAACTATAGGCCAGTGAGCTTTACATCTGTGGTAGGGCAATTATTGGAGAAGATTCTTAGGCTCAGGACTTACTTGCATTTGGAAAAGAATGAACTTATTAGGGATAGCCAGCCTGGATTTGTTTGGGGGAGGTCTTGTCTCCCAGATTTGATTGAGTTTTTTGAGGAAGTGACGAAGATTGATGAAGGTAGGGGCAGTGGATGTTGTCAACATGGACTTTAATAAAGCATTTGATAAGATTCCTCATGGTAGGCTGGCCCAGAAGAATAAGTCACATGGTTGGTAAGCTGGATATAAAATTGGTTTGGTCATACAAGGCAGAGGGTAATTGTGGAGGGATGTTTTTCTGACTGGAAGTCTGTGACCAGTGGTGTTCTGTAAGATTCAGTGCTGGGACCCCTGTTATTTGTAGTTTATATAAATGATCCAGATGAAAATGTTGGTTATCTGATTAGTAAGTTTGCAGACAACACAAAAATTGGGGCGATTGTGGATACTGAGGAAGGTTGTCAAAACAAGATAGAGATCAGTTGGAATGTTGGGCAGAGAAATGGCAAATAGAGTTTAATCTGGGAAAGTGTGAAGTATTGTGTTTTGGGAGGCAAAATGCAAGAGGAAAGAAAACAATAAATGGCAGGAGTATTTATGTACAGCTGGATATTTGCGTGTAAGCCCATAGCTCCGTGAAAGTGGCAACACAAGTAGATAAGGTGGTCAGGAAGGCATACAGCTATTTGCCTCCAGCAGTTGGGGCATTGAGAATCATTTGATATTTTTTTAAGACACAAGCTGAATAGATTCTGGTCAGATTGGAGAATCAAGGGTTATCGGGGGTAGATGGGGATGTGGAATTTGAGGCACAATCGGATCAGCTGCATTCTTCATGGATGGTTTTCAAAGGGCCGAATGGCCTATATTTGCACCCCCTTCCATATGTTTCATTTCAGGTGCCACCTTAACTTTTCTAAATTGCAGAGAATACAGACTTTATTTGCTTGGCCTGTTATCACAAGAACTGACAAAATGAATTCTGTGGATGATGGCATTCAGTCATCAAACAGCCCATTCAGTGCATTGGCTCGTTCTAATGATGATGATATTTGCGTCTTTGGTCGCATGGCAATTTTTGACACAATTTACGATACATATGGAAGCCTCTGTCCAGCCTACCAGAAATCACATCGGCCACCCGTTCAGAACCCCTCCCAACTTAACTCTCCAGTTTCCCAGGAAAGATCGGTAAAACTTCCGAATGATACAAACTGTGTCTGACCCATCTTGTGTACATCAAAATAGAAGTCCAGTACGACCAGTGTCTACACTTCCAAGTATTGTTGGCAACCTTAGTGGGTTTTATCTCTGTGTTGAACCTGCCTGTCCGGTTAGGTTAGAGACATTCCCCATCCAAGTCCAGTGCGTCCTTTCTACTCAAATGTACGTCCTGGACTATCAACGTCCCAAAACACTGAGAATCCCGTTAGCTGTGGTTGCCTTTCTTTCTGATGACGTTGGCTTGTAGAGGAATGGTGGATTAGGCATCAGGTGGGCCCAGGCTTCCTGCATTGGCATCGGACTGGCATTTTCCTTGGTCAGACTGAAATAAGTTGGCTTCGGAGAGTCAAGCACCAATCAGCTCGGGTGCCAGCAGAGAGATCTCAGGTGTAGAGCAGGCTGGTTAGAGAAGAAGCTAACTGTCCCTCCATTTGTAAACTGCATGACTCTCTAATACCAATGTAACAAGCCGTTGAATTTCCCACACCAATTCCTTTTGAGTCAGTGGTCTGTCTTTGCTCATTCATGGCCAGCTTGATAGGGGTTGGCCAGACCCAATTCATGCATTTGACAAATTTGAAATCAGTAAAGGGAATCGAGCGTTATGGGGAAAAGGCAGAAACTGGAGTCGAGGATTATTAGATTGGCCAAAATCTCATTGGATGGTGGAACAGATTTGAAGGGCTGAATGACCTACACTTTAATGGTCCTTTGTTTTCAATTTTTCATTTATTCATGGGATGAAGAGATCACTGTCTAGGCCAGCATTTATTTCCCATCCCAGAGGGCAGTCAAGAGTCAACCATGCCCCTGAGGGTCTCAAGTCACATGTAGGCCAGGTAAAGATGGCAGTTTCCCTCCCTAAAGGGCATTAGATGGATTTTTCCCCAACAATCTTATTGGATTCTTAATTCCATTTTGTTTTATTATTGAAATCAAATTCCAAATTCTGCTGCAGCAGGATTCAAACCTGGGTCCCTGGGAATGTTACCTGGGCCTTTGGATTAACAATCCAGTGATAATACCACTAGGCCATCACCTCCCCTTTTATCTTGGCTAGGTTTAAGTGAAGCAGGTTCGTAGGCAGGGGAGGCAATGGCCTAGTGGTATTATCGCTGGGCTGTTAATCCAGAGACCTGGATAACATTCTGGGGACCTGGGTTCAAATCCCACCATGGCAGATGGTGGAATATAAATTCAAAAAAAAAAAAAAAAAAAAAAAATCTGGCATTAAGAATCTACTGATGACCATGAATCCATTGCCGATTGTCAGGGGGGAAAAAAAACTAATGCCCTTTAGGGAAGGACATTGCCAAACTTGCCTGGTCTGGCCTACGTGTGACTCCAGGCCCACAGCAATGTGGTTGACTCTGAAATGCCCTCTGGGCAATAAATGCTGCCTTGCTAGTGACACACTCCTCCCATTAACAAATAAAGGAAAAATAATGGGCCCCACAGACAGAAGGCAAGTGTCCGTGTTACCACGGACCCAACCCTCCCCATTCACAGGACGTTAACGTGGCCAGTTTCTTGCGTATAGTCCTTTAATGGCAGATTGTTTAGCTCAAGGCCAAAGGTTTGGTGAAATTGAAGGCAGCGAAATCGCCACGGTAAAAGCGAAATAACTTGGCCGCGCAATGAGCTGGCAGCTGGCGGGTATACCCCTGGGATATCAGCCTCTTCTCCGGCTCCTGGAGCTTGGGTATCTCCCCTCCTGCCAGGACGCCCATCCGACGCAAAAGGTGCCTCACCTCCTGGTTGAGGAGCTCGTGCGCCACAATGTAGTCGTACCGGATGAGACACGGTTGGCACAGCTTAACGAGGGGCTCCCAGTGGGCAGCTGGTAATGACGTCTGACCCAAGGCATGGTGGACAAAACCTTCAAAGGTTTCAGCCCCTTGGCGCTGATGGCGATAAGCAGACAGGAGGCGTTGGAGAGGGTGTCTGATGAAGAGAATTTTGGTATACGATGCCAGGATAGCACCGACGGTGCCCATGTCGTAATGGCCCAGGTTTTGATCGGGAGCGGGCAATGGCGCACTCTCGTTCACCACATTCTCCACTGGCTCTGGCAGCTCACTCAGGGCCTTCAACATCGGCTCCCAGTCGGCTGGGCCTACGTCAGGCACGCTGCAGTACACCAACCGGAGACGCTCACTCACCCTCAGCCTGGAAAAGTGGCTGGGCCGAAGGAGCCTGTTAAACTTTGACCTCTGGTGGCAATACGCCCTCAGAAGCTTCTTCCTCATCTGCTGATTGTGCAGGAAGGAGTCAAAGGTCACAGGCACGCTCACTCTTCCTCGTTCAGGGCCTGCAGCAGGAAAGGAAACAAAAATAGCGCCCTTTGAGGATGACATTTAAAAATTGCCCAGATTTTATTTTTCCTTTTCTGTCAGCTCTATTCCCTCCATTCTCCCTGATTCAGGAGCACACAGCTAGACAGAATTGACACCAATTCTTATCGCTGTTAGCTATGCCCCCCAGCACAAAGTGAACATTCAAAAAGGAACAAGAGTAGGCCACTCAGCCCTTTGAGCCTGCTCTACCATTCAATAAGATCACAGCTGATTGGATTTCAACCTCAACTCTACATTCCTGCATATGTCCAATAATCTTTCACTCCCCCTTGGTTATCGAGAATCTACCTACCTCTGCCTTCAATATATTTATGGGTTGTGTATCTGCTGCTTTTTTGCAGAAGGGGACTCCAAAGGCTCACAAACCTCAGAGAGAGAATTGTTCCTCGCTTCTGTTTTAAATGGGCACTCCTTATTTTTAAACTATGACACCCCCACCTCTGTCAATTCTAGATTATCCGATAAAAGGAAACATCCTCTCCATATCTACCCTGTCAAGCGCCCTCAGAATCTTAACTGTTTCAATTAAGTCACCTCTAGACTCTTCTAAACTCCAACAGATATAGGCCTTGCCTCTCCCTCATCAGCCAATCCACTTAGTCCAGGTATTAGCCTATTAAGCCTGTAGAGCTTCTGGCAGAGTATCATTGCCTATCTCTTCTGCCTCCATTCAGCCCATCAAGTCCACACCAATCCTCCAAAGAGCATCCCACCCAGACCCAACCACAGCCCCCCTACCCTATCCCCATAACCCCGCATTTCCCATGGCAAACCCACACACCCCTGGATGTTATGGGAAATTTAGCACGGCCAATCCAACTAACCTGCACATCTTTGGACTGTGGGAAGAAACCAGAGCACCCGAAGGAAACCCACGCAGACACGGCAGGGGTGGGGGGGTACGTACATACAGACGGTCAGCTGCATGTGGAATCGAACCCAGGTCCCTGGCGCTCTGAGGTAACAGTGCTAACCACTGAGCCACCGTGCCACCCAACTTGCTCAAAAATCTACTCCAAGTATTGATCATTCTTTGTGTGTAGCTACACATCAAATGTTATAGAACCATGATATACGTGGACCATCAAAGGTCAATCTGCAGCTCCAGCAAGGGCTGAGGAAGACAAATACAATGCTGGCCTTTGTTACAAAATGGAGTAAATGCTTTGCTGTAAGTAACGGAACAGGCATTTGTTGAGAACTCACTCAGTATGGTTCTAGTCTTTAAAGAGGGATGTATTTACATTGGAAACATTTCAGAGAAGGTTCGCTCGGCTTATTATGAAGGGATTGCCTTATGAGGAAAGGTTGACCAAGTGGGTCTTATATTAGCTGGAGTTCTGAAAGAGAAGTTATCTTATTGAAACATCTAGGATACTAAGAGGGCTTGACAGGAAAGTTACAGAGAGGATTTTCTTTCCCCATATGGGGGAGTCTAGAACGCAGGGGGACTGAGTTTAAAAGTAAGTGTTTCCCAATAAAGACAAGGATGAGGTTGAACTTCTGCTCCCAATGGGTCATTTGGAATTCTCTTGCCAATGGAGACTGGGTCATCAAATGTACTCAAGGTTGAGGCAGATGTTTGATCTACAAGGAATTCAATGATTGTGAGGTGTAGGTCAGGAATAAAGACCACAATCAGATCAGTCATGATCTATTGAATGGCAAAGCAGATTCAAAGGGCTGAATAATCTATTTCTGCTGCTACTAATGGTCATTTGGTCCTTCTTAAAACTCCCCCTCCCATTAAGTAATTCGTTCTATTCACCTTTGACAATGACAGGTCACAGATTTCTTCATTCATCTATCCAATGCAGTCTTGGGTGTTGACTTAGGTGCAACAATTGACCCTGGACATGGATGTCAACTCCTCATGTCATGTGACAACATTGCAATTACCTTCTGTTGTGAACCTTTTGTAGTGAATCTTATATCATGCTCCCCTCGTCCATGACCTCCTTAACTACTGGAATCAGTCTGCCTTTAATGATGTTATGCCATTGCTTTAAGCACATCCAACTTACAATCTCCACTTTTGTATCAAACTAAAAAAACTCAGTCTTCCAAATCTTTTGATGTTCTATTTTTTTTTCTCTACAAACGCCTACACCACTGCCATACAGCAGTAGCGCTTATTTTCCCCAGTGCCCTTGTAGTGCGTGTGTGGGCATGAGATACAGTTAAAAACACCAGGTATGCAAGTAACTTTATTAACGTACCACCGTCAGGACAAAACATTAACCTGCCTAAGGAGCCAGTAGCAAACAGAACCCCTAGGTACAATGCCTATGCGAACAAAAAGGTGAAGGGGAAGGGTGGGGGTCAAATCAATATGGAATTGAAGGGGGAGATAAGGCACTCCACACTGCGCGGTGCCAATCTCTCCCGAAAGGTATCGAGAGTGTTGGTGGACACCATGTGGTCCTTCTCTAGGGACACCCGGGCACGAGTGTGGCCGCGGAAAAGGGGCAGACCATAATGACCCCCTCCACGGCCCGCACCCTGGACCTATTAATGACCAGCTTAGCCAGGCCCAGGAGCAGACCCGCGGGGAGATCCTCTGACCTCTCACACCCCGCTTCTGTACAGGGTGCCCAAAGATCGGGAGCGTGGGTCTAAAGTGCAACCAAAAACCCAAAAGGAGGTCTTTGAGGTAACTGAAAAGGGAGTGCAAGCACCCACACCCAATATATACACGGCCCATGGACTGTGCAGCTGCTGCAAAACAGACAGTTAGGTTGGGACTCCGTGAACCTCCGCAATCTACGGTTACAGGGGACTTTTGCGTGCAACACACTCCCCACCCCAGATCCCCGTAAGAAAGTCGGAGGACCCCGCCCACCCCCACAGAGAGAGCCCTCCCCTTGGGATCGTTTGACATTCTATATTTCCATAACAAAGAAGGTGATCTTCTGAGAATAATCCTTTGTACTGGGGCGGGACCTAAAGAGGTCTCTTTTCCAAACTGACAATTGTGACACGGGATTGAGCATCCATCCAGCTGCAGAGTGGGAATTTCTGACAACTCGCTGAGGTTCCTGCATTCCTCCAACTCTCGTCCAGACGCATTCCAGTTTACCTGATCACAAGGGGGCTGTGTCTCCAACTGTCTACGTCCTGAGCTCTGACATTTCCTCCAATAGCCTCTTCACCTCTCTAGTTCTACGGAATACTAGCTCCTTCACTTCTCCTACCGTTAACTTCCTTAGCTCAGTCATAGAGTCACACAGCACAGAAACAGACCCTTCAATCCAACTCATCCACGCTGACCAAGATTCCCAAACAAAACTAGTCCTGCTTGCCTGCATTTGGCCCACATCCCTCCAAAACTTTCCTCCTCATGTACTATCCAAATGTCTTTTAAATGTTCTAACTGTATCTGCCTTCCTCTGGCAGTTCATTCCGCACACGAGCCACACTCTGTGTGAAAAAGTTGCCCCTCAGGCCCCTTTTAAATCTTTCTCTCCTCTCACCTTCAAAATATGCCCCCTAGTTTTGAACTCCACCACCCTAGGGAAAAAAAATCTCTGCTATTCACTTGATCTAAGCCCTTCATGATTTTATAAACCTCTATAAGGTCCCTCTCAACCTCTTATGCTCCAGTGAAAAAGGTCCCAGCCTATCCAGCCTCTCCTTATAATTCCAACCCTCCAGTCCCAGCAACACCCTCGTAAATCTCTTCTGATCCCCCTCCAATTTAGTAATATCGTTCCTGTAGCAGGGCGACCAGAACGGTACACAATTACCCAAAAGTGGCCTCACCGACATCCTGTACGACCTCAACATGACACCCCAACTCCAATACTCAAAGGTCTGAGCAATGAAGGCAAGTGTGTTAAATGCCTTCTTAACCACCCTGTCTACCTGTGACACAAGTTTCAAAGAATTATGTACCTGAAACCCTAGGTTTCTCTGTTTGACAACATTACCAAGGGACCTACCATTAACTGTATAAGTCCTGTCTTGTTTGTTTTACCTTAATGTAATACATTTATCAAAATAACACTCCATCTGCACTCCTCAGCCCAATTGATTAAGATCCCTTTGTAATCTTAGATAACCTTTTTTACTGTCCACTATCTCAAGGATTTCCTTGATTTATGCTCTTGCCTTGTGAAATGTTACGATATTAAAGGCACTATACAAATGCAAGTCGGTGTTGCTTCTCAGGGAAAGGTGTAAATTGTAATTTACAATGATATGCCGATTCAGCAGCCCAGCTTAGCCCTGGAGAACATTTCCCCAGCAATGCTGCAGAAGCTGCTCTGTGCTCTTCAGGGACCCTGTGAATTACTCATTCTCAGAACACAGAAGAGGGTTACAAGGCCTACCTTGAGCAGAGAAAATTCCTGGCCTTTGGTCTTTACAAATGAGCCAGCCCAGGTAGCCCAGGAGCAATAACGCGACGACTGAAAGCCGTGCAGGGAAGTCCATTGTACCCCTGCTCTTCACTCTGACACTAGCCTAAGATCCTGTAACTCTACTGGATTCAGCCTCAGGCCTGTTTTACAGACAGGCACATTACAAATCACTGATTCCACCAGAGTAATGTACTGTTTACTTGCTTTATCTCTTCTGATCTTAGGCTGAATCAACACAGGATGAGGACACTGGCTCCATGATCTATTTTTATAGCCATATCATCAATCTCAATTTATCATGGAGTCAAAGAACATAGAATAGTGCAGCATAGCGCAGGTCCTTCGGCCCACGATGTTGTGACGGCCAATTAACCTACTCTAAGAGCAACACTAACCTGCAAAGGAGGCCATTTGTCCCCACTTACCTGTGCTGGCTCTTTGAAAGGTCCAAGAAGTTGCCGTCCCTTTGCCTTTGTCCCACAGACCCACATCTCCATTTTGAAGTAAGGATTCAGTTCCCCCATTTAAAGTTATAATCATTTCCAGGACCTTTTCAAGCTGTGCTTTCCTGATTGTAATAACCCTGAGTGAAAAAGGGCAGTCGATGGCCTAGGGGTATTATGGCTGGACTGTTAATCCCAAGACCCAGATAATGGGGACCTGGGTTTGAATCCTATCATGGCAGTTGATGGAATTTGAATTCAATTTAACTAAAGTCTAATGATGACCATGAATCTATTGTCGATTGTCGGAAAAACCCATCTGGTTCACTAATACCCTTTAGGGAAGGAAACTGCTATCCTTATCTGGTCTGGCCTACATGTGACTCCAGACCCACAGCAATTTGGTTGACTCTCAAATGCCCTCTGGGCAATTAGGGATGGGCAATAAATGTCTGCCTGGCCAGAGACGTCCTCATCCCATGAATGAATAACTAAAAGATTCTCCTCACATCCCCATCCTTTTTTTGTGATTATCGTAAATCTTTCTCATCTGGAGGTGGGGCAGCTCATCTACCATTGAATTCAGTTTCGCCCCATCTACTATCTCCAAACCCTTCACTCAGCATAGCACCAATAAATCTTCCCCCACTAACAGCCCCCTGTCCCGCCCCCTGGGAACATAACCCCAACTTCTCCAGGCCCTCCACCAAACTCATCTCCTTGTGGAATCATTCTGAGCTATTTCCTCTACACCTTCTCCGACATCTTTTTCGGCTTTACACCTCCTGACTATACTCATACCTGCATTTCCAAGTAAACTCAGAATATCATGAAAGTCTCCAATTTGCCCCGTCTGATAGAATCAGATTAACAGAACATCCTGGCCAGTTGGAGGAATGGCTTAGTGGTATTATTGCTGGATTGTTAGTCCAAAGATCCAATGTTCTGGGACCTGAGTTTGAATCTCACCAGGGCAGACGGTGAAAATTTGAATTCAATAAAATATCTGGAATATCTAATGATAACCAAAGTTGGAAGAACCCATCTGGTTCACTAATACCCTTTAGGAAAGGAAACTGCCATCCTTACCTGGTCAGGCCTACATGTGACTCCAGACCCACAGTTGACTCTTAACTGCCCTCTGGGCAATTAGGGATGAGCAATAAATGCTGGCCTAGCCAGTGTTACCCTCATCCTATAAATGAATTTTTAAGAAAAGGATTAAAAAAAGGACAACTGATTATTATAAATAAATAAGTTTTAGCCACAATTAACAAAACTATGAACCTGTAAGGTTAAACTCTACTGGTCAAAACTTCTAACTGTCCCTTTAAATCTATATACACATATACAGACAAGCAAAAAACGTCAGTGCTATGGGTGGAGGAAAGGAAACTGGGGAAACACAGTCCTATAGCACCAACTCACATGATTCGATGAGAGGTTCCTTTGCTTCCAAAACTTCTTCATTTGTTCAATCTCCTTTCTCTTGGTTCTTTCACTTCTCCTCAGGATGATGACTTCCAGTATGCACATCAGCCTGAAGACAGCTCCCTGGTTGGTTCCTGGGTAGGTGAACAGAGAAAGACAGAGAAACCGCGGGACTGCTGGAAGATCAGGGTCTGTGTCTCTATCTCTCTTCGTTAAAAGTTCCTGAAGTCTGAAGAAAGCCTGTTACTTCCGCCCCACCAGTCGCTGTAAGCTGTTTCCTTTACCAGTAACTAAGGGACTTTGGAATTAGTGTGCCTCCTTGCAGTTGTAGGTCTCCAGCATTTGCTGATTGCAGTTGTTCACACTGGCTGGGACAAATTGGAACAGACTGACCCTGTGAACATCTTCAATCTCGCAGTCTATAACAAGCATGTGAAGAATATCTTAGTCTGTGTGTGCGTTGGATAAACTGCTCAGTGCTTCAGATATTGTCATCCCAGTTATCCAGCTTATACCAATTTCAAGGCCAGATCCTTGCACCTTGGCGATAAACAATGCAAAAATGGCAGTGCCATCATTAGCAGCTAAAGCTGATCATTTCTAGTGACTTACGATCCATTTCCAGGCTGGATTTCTTGCTGAACAAGTCAATTAAAAACTGTATGATGCCAAATAACAGAGCCAATGTTTCATTTGGAGGCAGTTCAGAGAATGTTCATTTATGGGGAGGGGTTTTGTTATAAATAAAGGCTAAACAAGTTGGGACTCTACTCACTGGAGTTTAGAAAAATGAGAGGTGATCTCATTGAAACATATGGGATTCTTAAGGGGCTTAACAGGGTGTACACTGAGAGGATGTTTCCCCTCATGGGAGAGTCGAGGACCAGAGGACATAGTCTGAGAATAAAGGGGTAACAATTTGAGACTGAGATGAGGAGGAATCTCTTGCCTCAAAGGGTTGTGAGTCTTTAGAACTCCTTGCCATGGACAGTTGTGAGGACAGAGTCATAGAGTAAGAGTCATACAGCAAGGAAATGGACCCTTTCATTTAACCAGTCCACATCGAACAGACATTCCAAACTAAACTAATCCCACCTGCCTGTGTTTGGCCCATATTGCTCCAAACATTTCTTATTCATGCTCTTATTAAATGTCTTTCAAACATAACCATACCCGCATCCACCACTTTCTCTGGAAGTTCATTCCACACACGAACCCTCCTTTCCCATCAATATCCCAGTCAATGTTTTCTGAAACCTCTCTGAGTTAATAATATCCTTCCTTTGTTTAAGGCTGAGATAGATAGATTCTCGACCAGTATGGGAATCACGGGTTATGCGGAAAATGCAGGAAAGTAGATGTGAGGAGCATCGGATCAGCAATAAGCCTATTGAATAGTGGAGCAGGCCAGGGGAGTCAAACGACCTATTCCTGTTCCTATTTCTTCATGGTCTTACGGTCTTGCAATCAATATTGGAGTAATCAGTTGGCACAGATGACAAGACTCTCGAACCGAAAGCACTAGGCGTCTCATCTTGCAAAAGAAAATGGCTGGCCTTTATATGCCATCCTGAATTGCGTCTTTCCTGAGGTATTAGGAAGGCATTATTGTGTTGTCAGAACCTGCTTGAGAGAACCAATGTTGTGTGTTAGTGATCATCTTGCCACATAGTGGTTTTCCTTCTTGAGTAAATCTCTTAGCGGATGTACCTTGTCTGAAAAGTTGGAAATATATAGCTGGAGGAAGCTGAAAAGCCTGAGATAATATCTTAGATTCTTTCTATCCTACTGTGTTGGCATTTACTCAACATGCTCGATTTTACTTAGGCCAGGACGGACTTGAAAATCTTTATCTTGCAGAAGTTGGCCTGGCACTCTGTGCCGTTAAAGATCAAACCCATCTTATGGCACTACTGCCATCAGTGGATGTGACTGTGCTTTATCTTTGTCAAACTTACAACCATGGGCTATTCAAATACAGCCAGGTACATCTTCAATAACTCTAACCATGTGGATAAGTTTTGGCTAACTGATAGCCCAAATGGTAACCGAGTCAAAGACCACCAACTAAATGGTGTCCTGAATGTTGCAAGCTCTTGGGATCCTTCAGCTGGACAGCTGGACATGTAGTCCAGAGAAGAACTTGACTGGAAAATTGATTCTTCCAGCCTTGCTATTTTGCATGGACGCCTTTTTGAAAGAAAGGTTGAGGCACTTTGGAGTCTTTATGGTGCCATCTTTCTTTAAGACACCTGCGATGGAGTTACACCAATCTGTCTGATGGACCGAACTTCTGCTAAGTAACTTTTCATTCCATTGAAATTGTTAACCGATTTGATTGTGCCAGGCCTGGTCTGTTCCCCCACAGTGGGCATGGCTTGAATTCTGTGATTGGTGACAATGCCAAGATCTGTACACACTAGTAGTCCTACCTGTGCTGGACTATCATTGGTACCTACCAGGTAGACAATCTCAAGAGGCCAATCTGAACTGGCACACTGGCATTGCACCAATTCCCTGTGGGCTATACCATGTTGTTTAGATGTGCATAGTGGTATGACCTTGGCACTGGCTCCTGTGTCAGTTTTTAGCTGTCGGGGTGTGTCCACCTGCTCTTTGGAGGGGCCACAATCAAAAGGGCCTTCAATCACTTTATACCATCGACGTGGTATGCCAGGTTGGCAATATGAAATGTTTGGTCAGCAAAAACAATTTGTTGTTTAATTGTTGGCTGTGCACAGCAAAACTTGAAGTCCAGCTCAAGGTGCAAATTAGTTTTGGGATCAGATGCCCCAGCAAAGGACAAGAGTGTGGAAAAATCTGGGGCATCTGTTGATCATCTAGTCAATAGAGTCTTTAGGGTTTCTGCCTGTGTGACTTGAGTTGAGTTCCATTAATCCCAAAACTAATTTGTGCCTTGAGCTAGTCTTCAAGTACAGGGGTTCTGCTATAACATGTATCCCAGCAATGTGAATTGGCTATAAATGATTGGCAAATAGGGGAACGCTATTTCTAAAATGTGAACTTGTGTTGGCTATAACGTGATTCCATGGAGTAGGCATCTTGTTGTCAGGAGTCCTTTGCTAATGATATCTACGGGGTATTTGTACAATGCTGTGATACTGACAGTCCCAGGGAAATTCTCTCTGTCAGCCTTCATTGAAACTGAAAAGTAGGAAGCCAGCAGGTCTGTTATCAGGAAAAGTAGGGAAAGTGAAAAACAGTATATCTTAAGTTACCTTGAAAGGAAACACAGTGAGGCACAGGACCTGGATACAACAGGAGCATCCAGCAGCCTATTAAAGTAATTAGTCAGATCGTGTTTCATTAGTTTTTCATTAGTTTCATTTTTCATTAGATTAGTTAACTCATATTTCAACTTGATTTTCCCACCTTTACTCCATATCCCTCAATACCCTTGTGGTGTGGTGATAAGATCACTGAAGGAGTCTGAGTTGCTATGGCAACGTACACATTATGTATACGTCGCAGTCTGGAGCTATGGATAGTGGTGGTAGAGCCTCCAATATTCTTTTAGTCACGGCTAACCAGGAATCTCTCCCAATCTTGCAGTCTGCTACTGACAGTGTTGGAAGAATTTGCCGATTGATACTCAATCTTTTTAATCACATTGTGAACGCACCTTGAATTCTGAGGCAGGACTTGAACCTAGATCTTCTTGCTTACAAAGGCTTACACCTTTCACAACCTCAGCAGGTTACAAAGAGTTTGACAGCCACTGAAGTAGTTTTGAAGTGCAGTACAAAATACAGCAGCTACTTTTCACGCAGCGCTCTCCCGTAAGCAACAATGTGATAATGGCCAGACAATCTGCCATTGTGTTGTTGACTAAGGGATAAGTATTGACTAGGACACCTGGGTAACTGTCATGCACTTTTTGGAAATAGTGAGGACAGTTGTGCCAATCTGAGAAGGAGCTGCGAAGCCGCTGTCACATTTGGACCAACCTGTCTGTACAGCTGCTAACAGTAGTGCTATCCTTTGTGTTAAAATTTTGGTGGTCTGCCCCTAACCCTGCTTTTCCCATAGGCCCAGTTTATTTATACAGCGCAATCTTCTATATGACGATGTTGTACAAGAACGCAACTATCGCCTTATAGCAGGACCGCCTGTACTCTCCAATTCGTCTCTGGATTTGTTTATAAATCCTCCTCAGAAAGACTGAACCCATTATTTATGTGTAGCTCCTCTTCGCTGGTAGCAGGTAGGATTTTCAGGGACCGCCTCTCAGAATCGCTGCTTGCTTGGTCTATGAAATAAATCTGCACGTTTTGCTTAAACAGCTCTAATTCAGCGAAGGTACCATTCGGTGTCCAGCTCATAATTAAATGTTGCCTTCTATTTCTTGTTGAGAGTTTGTTCTTTTTTCTACTGAAGTAGGATGCAATGCTTGTACGTTCCTTCCTTTTACTTGCTTTTCCTCTTCTGTCCTTTTATTTTTGTGTTAGTTTGCTTCTGTAAGCCTTTATTTTTGACAAATGTAGTCCCTTTGATTAATTTGGATTATTTTGGGGCCGTGCCTTAAAGAAATGCAGGCCCTGTAGTCGCAGACTTCTTCCACTGGAGGGCACTCGCAGCCTATAAGTCTTCCTTCCGAGATGGTAGGAACTGCAGATGCTGGAGAATCTGAGATAACAAGGTGTAGAGCTGGATGAACGCAGCAGGCCA